GGGTCCTTGCACTTGCAAGGCAGGCCACCAAACCGCTGAGCTAAATTCCTGGCCCTATACTATACATTTTAAGTCCTTTTTTTTTTTTTATTGAACTCAGAGTCTTCTCACTAAATTATTATCCCAGCCCTTTTTTTAAATTTTTAAGACAAGATCTTGCTAACTTGATTAGCTGCCAAGCCTTTGTTTTAATTTATAATCTTCCTGCCTCAGCCTCCCAAACTGCTGGGATTATAAATGTGCACTCTCACATTTAGCACAACTTTCTTTATTTTTTATTATATCTCACTTTTTTTACCTAAATAAGTTTTGGACATTTCCCGTGTCCGTCTATATAGATTTACTGTAATGTTTTATTGCTAAATACTCTTGTCTTTGGTTATATGATAATTGATTTAACCAGTCACCTGTTGCTACTCCAGGACTCTTAAGGAAGGGACCTGGACTCCCTCCAGGCAGTCACATAGATAGGACGAGTTGTCACACTGCACACCTGTGTTCGGCTGACTGGAAACAACTGCGTGGGACTCTGGCCACTGGGCCAGTGTCCAGCCTGTTCATTAGCTGACGTGGTAGTAGGAACAGATTATGGGAAAGAGTGAATTCAGATTGTTTCCTGGGTTGGCAGACTGTGTTCCCCCATAGAACCCGTGAACTGCTCAGCTATGTCTCCAGCCTTATGTATTTATATATTTAATTTATTTGCAGTACTGAAGATTGAAGCAATACTTTGCACTGAGCTACATCCCAAGTCATATTTTTAGTTTTTATTTTAAAATCAGGTCTTGCTAAGTCACTAGTTGCCCAGGCTGGGCTTGAACGTGGGATCCTTCTGCCACATCATCCCAAGTAGCTGGGATTACTGTTCCTGGCTTTGCTATCTCTTACGCTGTGTTGTGTGTGTGTGTGTCTGTGTGTGTGTTATTTTTTGTGGTATTGGAAAATGAGAATCAAACCCAGGTCCTTCACACTGAGCTACATCCCCAGCCTTTTTTCTTCCGACATGGGGGGTCTCACTAAATTGTTAAGATGCCCAAGCTGGGCTTGAACCTTCAATCCTCCTGCCTCACTGTCTTGGAGTGCTAGGATTACAGGCCTGTGCCATCATACCCAGCTTGTGCTGTTTCTCTTCCAAGACATAGAAATAAATTATTTCCTCTGTTCTCGGGGGTCTGTGGCATTGCAGATTGTTTGAGGCGCATCTGTGTCCTGTGAATCGCGGTTTCAGGGGCACCACTGTAGATGTGAAAGCTGTAGGAGCTGCCAGAATCTGGGCCTCTTCCGAACATAGACTGGAAGTTGCGTTTAAAAATAGTCTCCGTATTGGTCTGTCTTGGGACTAACCTCATTTTCACAGGATCCACCTATGAGAGATAATTACAAACCGTCTTTCTGCATTGACTTGATTCTCCTTACCGAAGCTTTTCTTCCCATCTTGTAGAATAATTTGGGCAAGTCCAGAGGTAGCTGGAGGCCTTTATTTTGCAGAAACAGAATGTTTGAAGTAGGTAATACAAAGCTTTTCCCAGAGCAGAGTATTCTCACTAAGCAGTGCCCCCTACACTTTCCTGATGCTGCAGGCCGAGGGCCCTGGGCACCTGCATTCCTGACCGGCCCCCCTGGGTGCTGCAGATGCCTCGCCCAGCCCACCTTCACACGGAGTAGCAGGACACAGAGCTTTGTCCTCATCGGTCTTTCCATACTTCTGCCTGGCCTTTTTTGTTTTTGGTACGGGGGATCCAAGTCAGGACCTTGTGCTTGCAAGGCATTCGGTGGAATGACTGAGCTAAATCCCCGGGCCCTGCCTGGCTCTTGACTTTCACGCACATGTCCTTCTTTCAGAGCCTGGACTATGATCGCTGCATCAATGACCCTTACCTGGAAGTGCTGGAGACCATGGACAACAAGGTGAGCTCACCATTCCTGGTCTCTCGTGCCCTTGCAGGTCTTCAGACAACTGCTCTGCTAAAATCTCCAGTAAATGTCCTTATCCCTGAGTCTTTTTACCCTTTTGTGGGACATTGGCCTGTAATTCCCCGGACCTCCTTCCTGCCGACCAGAGACCCACAGTCTGCCACCTGGCCCCTTAGGATTCATCGTTCTTATATGGCTAAGCACTGGAACTATGAGACCACCCCCCACCATGCTAGCTGTGTGCATGGAATTTGGCCGAGACGTGCTGCTTCCCCACTGCCAGTGCGGCCCTGTAACAGTGGGAACTGTTCTTTTCCATGTGAACAGAAAGGGCGAAGGTACGAGGCGGTGAAGTGGATGGTGGTGTTTGCCATCGGCGTCTGCACCGGGCTGGTGAGCAGCGGGATGTGGGGGGTGGTGCCACAAAGGAAAGCCCTGGCCTGGCAAATGATCTTTGTCCTTTGTCACCACTGCATGTATAACACTAGAACAGTTGTCATTATAATCAAGATTTCCTGTTTTCTCTTTTTTTAACTTTCCCTTTTTTTTTTTTTTTTTTTTTTCCCTTTTTCAGTACTGGGAATTGAACCCAGGGTCTTCACACTAAGCTACATCCCCAGCCCTTTTAAGATTTATTTTGAGACAGGGTCTCACTAAGATGGTAAGTTGCCCAGGCCAGGTTTGAACTTGTGATCCTCCTGCCTCAGCCTCCCAGAGTGCTGGCATTACAGGTGTGCACCACCGTGCCCAGCTTTTTTGTTTTCTGATTAATAATCCTAGCCCAGTTTTTTTTTAATACTTTTCTTACTTTTGCATTATGAAATAAAACCAAAACCATAGAGCTCTGGGATCGTTAAGCACTCAGAGGTTTGGCCAAACACCTGTCTTACAATTGGATTGAGTCAGCCTGTGAGCTCCTCAGCACCTAGACAGCATGGCCGTAGGAGATGACATAGCAGGCACTGTGGATGTTGAGATCTCACTGTCCTGCTCCATGCTGATGGTGTCTACACAATAGAGCTGGTGGTTGTGGGTGGAGGTTGTGTCTGAGTGAACAGGGAGTCTGGGTTCTGAGGGTTCACAGTGGCTCCCAGACAGGGAAGGATTGCAAACATTGTCCCAGATCATGGTAGCAGGAGCTCTGCAGCCACAGCCGCTGGCTTAGCATTGTTAAACCTGAGAAGAGAAGCTGGAAAAGCCAGCAGCCAGCCGGGCATGCTGGTGCACACCTGTATTCCCAGCACTCGGGAGGCTGAGGCAGGAGGATGGCCGTGAGTTCAGGGACAGCCTGGGCTTTATAGTGAGTTCAAAGCCAGCCTGAACTGCACCGTGAGACTCTGTCTTAAAATAACAAGGAGAAAGAGAAGCCAGCAGGCAGCCAGAAGATACAGTCAGATCTGATTTTCATCAGCGTGGTATAGGCAAGGGAACACAAACAGCAGTAGCCTGTTTATCGCCTTTCTCTGGAGTCGGTCACAGGCTCATCCTTGGCATGTCATGGTCTTCCTGGGAAGTGTAAGCATGTATGCAAATTAATGCCACCCGAGGGCCACCCACAGTCACTCTGTTCTTTGGTGCTCATCAGATTTTTACTCTAGTAAACTGACACAAATACCTACTAAGGAAGATGGAGGACCCTCCAAAGGCCTCTACTGACGTTCTGAAGGGTCCCACCATGGGGAGAGGGGACCGAGGGGCTTTAATTGTTTTATTGAAATCCAAGTGTTCGTTTTACTAGTCATGTTTCTGGTTGCATATTTCCCTTTACTAAGCATATTTATCAGCCATATAGTTGTTAGTCTCGCTGTTACTGTTAGTCAGCCTCCTTTGAGCTTCCGATCACCATCAGTAGCAACTTCTCAGCAGAAAGGCCCCTCCTTTTTAAGGCAGCACTGGCCACCTCCCCTTTGATCTGTCACCTCTCCTGCCCAGTGGCAGTGAGCTTCCAGCCATGGGCTTGAGGGAAGGCCAGAGTCATTGAAGGCAGGAAGCCTTTGCTTTTGACCCCATAAAATTAGTCTTTCTAGTTCTCCCTCAAGCAATTATGTGAGTGAAATGTGAGTCGTTTCCTCTATTCTGGTAATGACTGGCCGTGAGCTAGTTCTAAGTCAAAATAATGACTTGTTTAAAACAAACATGCAGAGACCACTTATGCCTAAGGAAACGTTCACTTTTCAGGCAGTGTCCTAAGCTATATGCTTATCCAGCCATAAATGGCCAGAGTTGTTTTAACTGTCCTTTTGGACCCTCCTGTCCTTTCAGTAGAGTGGAGTGCTTCCCCACACAGTTCACTGTTGTTGGGTTTTAAACATGCCGATGGTCTCTTCTTTGGTCTCCGGTCATTTTCTGTATCCTTTTCCTCTTTTGTTTCGCTCCACTGCACTCGGCTGTAGGCCTTACTTTGTAGTGTGGAGGCTGAGCAGCGTGTAGGGATCTTCTCGAAAGCCCGGGACTGGCGGGCTAAATTGCTGGTTGGTAACTCAGGCAGCTGCCATCAGTGCGTGGAAGAAGGTGGTGCTTCGGGGGAAGCACACGTGCACTTCACCCGGGGCCGGGGCCATGTGATGCGTTTCTTGCTCTTTGCAGGTGGGACTCTTCGTGGACTTCTTTGTACGCCTCTTCACCCGACTCAAGTTTGGAGTGGTTCAGACATGTATCCTTTCGTGGCTCCATGTTGCACGGACTTCCGAGGTCTCTCTCTGACGTTCGTTCTCGTCCAGACGTGGGTTTGGCACTGAATGTGAAATTTGAAGGGTTGCTTCTTAGCCATTCAGCTTGAGGGCTAATTATCATCAAATGCGAAAGATTACAGGGATTACAAAGTATGAGTCAGTGGTCAGACTCATGCTTGTGGTTGGTAAGATGCAGTATCACAAAGCTGCCTGTTCTCCCCGCCTGTAAATTCAGTGTTCTAATCAAAACTCAGTAGGACTTCCGATGGAGAACAAAAAATTCTCAATTTGTATAGAAGAGCAAAGGGCCAAAAGCAATTGAGGCAGTTTTGAACAACAAGCAAATGGATTTGCCTTCCTAGACGCCAAGGCTTGTTAGTTGGTTTTAAGACAGGGCCACACTTTTGTAGTTTATGCTGGCCTTGAACTATGTAGCTCAGGTTGGCCTCAAACTTATATAGTGATCTTCCTTTCTCAGCCTTGCAAGTGCTGGGATTACAGGCATGCGCCAGGACACCCAGCTAAAATTTAAGATAACAGTAATTGGGGCCAGGGATTTTGCTCAGTGGTTCTGCCACCTGCCTCTCAAGCACAAGGACCCGAGTTCGATCCCCGGTACCAAAACAAAAAACAAACCAATGGGAAGATAATAGGGAATTGGAAATTTGTTCTGCATAGGGAATTTGTTAAATCCACCCAAAAGAAGGTCTCCCATACCTTCTAAGGGATTATTTAATAAAAGATTCTAGGACATTGGTCGTCCATATGCAGAAATAGATTCTCATTCATACTATAAATAAGCTAAATTCCAGATGGGTTGAAGATAAAAATAAGCAGGACAAAGTTTTAAGAGACCAGACGATATCAGATGTAGGGAATAGTTTCTTGAAACCCTAGAAGCCACAGATGGGAAAGATCAATAAACTTGACCACATCAAAGTAAATATTCCATTTAAAAGGAAAATTTTAAAACCTCAACAATAAAACACCATAGGTAAAGTGAAAAAGCGAGTTCTCAATTAGTCTCCAAAATAGAGAAAGAAAAAAATTCCAGAAGTCCAGTAGAAAAATGGGAAAGAATGTAAGTAGGTTCTCAGAGGAGAAAAAGCTAGTAAGCTACGGAAAAAAATCAGAAGGTGTCCGTTCCTGTCTCGTAAGTTCCTCTCAGGGCCCCTTGGATGTGTCCAGAGGTGGCTGTCACGCCTTTGTGATGGCAGGAAGTTGGACGTACCAGCTGGGGGTGTTGCCACTCAGGCTCTCACACTCAGGTTCACTGACCAGGTCAAAAGAGGCCAAGGCCATTTATTTTCGTAAAAAGGACACAGGTTATTCAGAGCCAGCTCTGAGGGGATGGAGGGGACAATGTGCCTCAAGTCACCAGCTCCCCGTGACCAGGTGTGTTGGGATCTTTTATGGCAAGCGATAGCGTGGGGGAGCATAGGTGCAGTAGACCTGGGCAGCTAGTTCCGTGCCTGCGGTTGCACCTCTTGCTCCCTTGTCTCAGTGCGTGAAGCGGGGCTCAACGACCTGTTGCTGCTTTCTCCATGTTCTGTCCTTTCCTCTGGGTGCCCGAGAGGCCTACACCTGAGGAAGTTTGGAAGCCACATGTCTCTAAAGGAAAAAAATCTTAACTTTCAAAATTCCATTGTGCAGTGCTGATTACAGGGGAATGGAAAAGTTGATGCCCATCATCTGGAATGATTTTACACAGAAGATGTATGAACCAGAACTGTGCATCAGCGTGGCTAATTCTCAAAAACTTACATGTCGATGGGCCGGGGATTTAGCTCAGTGGTTCCGGCGCTTGCCTTGCAAGTGTAAGGGTCCGAGTTCAATCCCTGGTACCAAAATAAAAATATACGTTGAGACAGAAAAGCAGGAAGTTGTGGGACATAGATGAAGTACAGTATGAACAATGCAGACACAAGAAAATATGCAGGGAATTCAGCCTAGTGGTTTCTCCCAGAGGAAGGAGGAAGGACAAGAGTTTTTGGTTTTGTTTTGTTTTTGAGATGGAGTCTTAGTGCATTGCCCAGGCTGACCTTGAACCTTGTGCCCCTGTGTCCCCTTCCAATGTAGCTGTACTTACAGGCATGTGTTGCTGCACCTGGCCTGGATTTCTTTTTTAAATGGTGTCTTATGTCTTTAAACATTTCTGGAGCAAGTATGGTGTAATCCAGGTTTTGTAAAGCTAGGGTTGTGAGTGTGTGTAACTTCTGTAATACTTGAGGTATTCCATATTTCTACTTTTTTTGAGACAGTTTTGTCTGGCCTTGAACTCACAGTGATCCTCCTGCCTCAGCCTCCCAAATGCTGGGATCACAGGTGTGCGCCAGAACACCTGGCAGGTATTGGGTATTTTTAAGTGGTTCCCATTGTAGGTGTTATCTTGGGCAGCTGTATATTCTACCCCGGGAGAAGAAGGTGTGCACTAGGGGAAGCTGCACCATGGCCAGTGGTAACGGGGCCGCCACCACATGGCTGAGAACTTGTTTTCCTTAACCAAGGCTCCGCAGCGGTGGAGGAGTGCAGCCAGAAAGGCTGCCTCGCCCTGTCCCTACTCGAACTCTTAGGTTTTAACCTGATCTTTGTCTTCTTGGCCAGCCTCCTCGTCCTGATCGAGGTGAGGTGGTTTGGAAATTGCCCGCCTGTGGTATGTGGGGTTCAGGGCTCCTGCTCTTCACCTCAGCATCTCCAGTCCCAGATTGTGGGGGGACATCTGGATGGAGCAGGACCCTCTTGCTCACTCGGAGAGGGTCCTCGAAATAGATTCTAGCCTGCATCGAGGTCAGTGAGGGAAGCTGTAGGTTAGGCTGGGCTTCTCCCCTGGGAGCAGGACTTCTAGAAGCGGGACACCGCGTTGTTGGCTGACGGGCTCCCACAGGCTCCCACACTAGGTGGACTCCTGGGGACCTTGTCAGAAGTGCAGATGATCCCATGCCCCCGAGGGCTACAGAGTCAGGAGCCAGGGAGGGGCCCAGCACCCGTGACTGACCCTGTTCGGGTGACCCTGATGGTGCCGAAGGCGGTGAGTTCTTGTCCCGCTTGTCGAGGGCAAGCAAAGAACAAGTGGCGTTTGAATTTATGGCTGTGTCTCCTGTCCCCATCAGCCGGTGGCTGCGGGTTCTGGGATCCCTGAGATCAAATGTTATCTGAATGGCGTGAAGGTGCCAGGAATCGTCCGGCTGCGGACCCTGCTCTGCAAAGTGTTCGGAGTGCTGTTCGGTGTGGCAGGCGGTAAGGAGGGTCTTGGAGCTCTTACCCTTCGGGAGTCCCGGGGCGAGGCTGACCAGAAACATTCTGTGTGTAAATGAGGTTCCCACTGAAGGGCCCGCCCCAAGCGGTGTCCACTCTTCTTGTCTGTAGGTTTTTAAATGCAGACACTGTTAGTGCGGTGCCATTTGGAGTCGCCTGACAGACACCATTGTTTTGAAGTACACACACCAAGTTGGTTCAGAGTTGGCTTTTAGCAAAGTCAGCACATTTTCTGTGTCAAGAGCCAGACAGCAAATCTTTTCTGCTGTATGGGCCAAGAAGGAGCACCAAGGATATGGTGTAGACACTTAGGTAACCCTTTAGTTGCCCACTCAGGAGTGGAAAAGCCATTCTCAGCTCTAGAACTGTGCAGTAATAGGCAAGGAGTGGGTCTGGACCCTGGTGTGCAGACCCCATAGCAGGACTTTAAACGGAACTGGTTTGGTGGGGATTTGTCCCGCCTTCCCTTAGCCCTGTGCTTGCCTGTGAGCGAGAGAAAGGTTCGTAGTAAAGGTCCCTGAGCCAGAGGCTTCTGTGCTAACTGCTATCTCCCTTTCTCACCATCCCAGGCCTCTTTGTGGGGAAGGAGGGCCCCATGATCCACAGTGGGGCCATTGTGGGAGCCGGCCTTCCTCAGGTAAGGGCCTTCGGGCCAGGGCTGCACCCCTCAGGGCGGCTCCTGCCTGGGCCCCAGGGATCATGCCTGTGTGAAACCCTTTGGGGCCACCCTAACATGACTCTGGAGCCTGAGCCATTTGGCTTAAGAAAACCTTGTGGTCTGCCTCTCGGCAGAGCAAGCACATACCCTAGACTCAGAGGTTTAATGACGCCTTGCTGAGTCCTAGGTACAGAAATAGGAAAGGAGGAAAACTGTGACATAGGCAGGTGAAAGTCACCTGCTGCTCCGCAGCCATTGCCAAGCGCCCCCACGTAGGGTGGCATGATGGGTCGTCTCCATGCCACCAGATGCCAGAGAGGCTGGGAGCGCCAGCTGGGTGGTCTTAGCCCCGGCTCCACTCTGATTCCACTTGGCCTGCCTGGCACGGTAACTGACAGCGCCCACTCGCAGGATTGTGCGGGTTCCAGCTCCTGTCTTCTTCGGGGCCACCTGAGGTGTTTGGTTCTCAGGTGAGAAAGCTGGGGCTCATAGCTGGAGGGACTCTCCCAGGACCCCAAAGCTCCCTTTCTGAGGGCTTTTTCAGGCTCCTGGCTGCAAGTGTGAGAAGCCAGCTCCCTGGGCGCCATTGCACGGCTCTGTTTCCCTCCCTCTCCTGCCAAGGGGAGTTACTGTGAGTGCAAGTTGTGGGGCGGAGGGGAGGAGGTTCCTTCTTCAGGGCATCTCCTCTCGATGCTGCCTCCTAGCCAGGTCTCCCAGGAGTGAGTCCGGAGGACGAAAGAAGCCAAGCACAGTGGAGCGTGGTGTGAGGCTCTGTGGGCTGACTGAGAAGTGGGTGTTGGTCGGGCCTCACTGCCTGATGGCCCCTGAGCACAGCCAGCTTCCCTTCTCGGTTCCTCCCGGTCCTTGCTCAGCTCTTTCCCTTTTTTCTTTCTCACTTGTTGACTATGCACAGAATGCAATTTTCAAAGAGCCTAGAAGTCACCCAAAGGAGGTGACTTCCTTTTTTCCAGGTGGCAATTTTGGACACTTCCTGCCTGTAGCACATTGGCCCATGTGGGCCAAGCAAAGGCGCCTCCCTGGGTTCTGTGGGTTTCTGCAGCTTTGGTCCTTGTGGGCCCCTCTCTGACTAGTTTTCGCTTGTTTTAGTTTCAGAGCATCTCCTTACGGAAGATTCAGTTTAACTTCCCCTACTTCCGAAGTGACAGGTATGAAAACAATAGAAATTGGTCCTTAGGAAAATACAAAGTGATGCTGGGCATGGTGGTCCACACCTGTCATGGAGGCACTTTGGGAGGCTGAGGCAGGAGGTTCACAGTATGAGTCCAGCCCGGGCAATTTAGAAACTTGGCAAAACTCAGTCTTACAGTGAAATAAAAACAAGAGTAGGGATGTAGCTCAATGTGAAGGCCCTTGGTTCAATCTGCAGGACCACAAGGGAAAAAAAAGTTCATGTACTACCAGTCAGACTGGTACTTGCTCTAGCCTAGCTCTCAGTAGCCCCTTCTTAGCAGGTTGCTTGCAGAATCTGTGTGTCAGAAGGTGGGGTGTAGGGGCTCTGCATTATTTTTCTGAAAATAAACCAAAGCACAAAGTTGGCATTGTGACTTTTATTTTGTCATGTCCTAAGGCCTAGAAGCATCTCAGGTCACGAAGTCCAAGAGCCAAAATCCCAACCAAGAAAGGGCACGGGTGGGGGTATTATCAGGAAGGTGTTTTATAGTCCCTCGTGATCTACTTGCATAGGGCCTCTGTGGCCTGGAAGTCGGCCTTCCCCATGGACTGTCCAGCCCTGTGACTTGTAGGTCACTGACCTGCGCAGCTGGGAGGGCCCTTGGGATCAGGGGCTCAGTTCAGCCTCTTGGACCTCTTTTCATCTTCATATCCCTGCAAGTCATTGCTCACCAGCTCCTCTGTGTGAAGCCAGCAAGTGCTTACATGGCCTCTCCGATGATGGGCTTTTGCGGAAGAGCTCTGGTAGGATCGAGGCCTGGCAAGGGTTACAAGAACTCTTCCATCTGCTCTAGGCCTGGGACTGAGACCAAGTCCAGAGTGCCCAGTACAGGGGGCCCTGCTTCCCAGGTCAGGGAGCCATTGTACCTCGGCAACCTTGGTCAGCTTCTTGTTACTATAATGAGTCCTTGAGAGAAATCACCTTAAAAACAAAAGCTGATTTTGACTTAGGGTTTTGAGGGTCTCAGTCCTATTGACGTCATGACCAGGAATTGAGACAGGAAGAGGAGGGGGTAGGGTCCCAATTTCTCCTCTAAGACACACCCCAAATGGCCTAACTTCCTCTCTCCAGGCCCCCTGCCTTTTAAAGGCTCCACCACCTCCTAATGGTGCCATGGGCTGAGCTCTAGGCCAGTAATACACAGGCCTTTGTGGGACATTTTCAGATGCAAACTGGTGTGCAGGCCACATTGACCAGCGGGTGACCTGCGTGTGCTGCCGAGTCTGGCTCCCTGGAGACCTATCCTTTTGTGTCCACAATAAGGAAGTGAGAAGCTGCTTTTGCAGCCCGAGGGCCCATCTCTCACTTTGTCTTCTCTCCCCCAGAGACAAGCGAGACTTCGTATCAGCAGGGGCAGCTGCTGGAGTCGCTGCGGCATTTGGGGCCCCGATTGGGGGCACCTTGTTCAGCCTAGAGGAGGGCTCGTCCTTCTGGAACCAAGGGCTCACGTGGAAAGTGGTGAGCAGCCATCCCTGGAAGCCACGCCCTCGGCCTAACCACATCCAGAATTAAACCGCACATTTGTCTGTCCCGCCCCAGTTTGGTGAGACTGGAGGGTCCACTCAATGGGGACTTCATTTGCCATAGCAGCTAGGACCTCCAGACTGGGCTCCTCTGCTGTTCTTATCAGTACTCCCCGCCCCACAAACATTAAACCTCACACCAGACTCCTCGTAAGCCACCCAGCTGGAAAATTAGATGCTGGCTGTCACCTAAGGCAGGAGTGACAGGGTTGGGACTTGAACCCCTGTCGCACCCCAAGTGATGTGTTCTCCCCACGCAGCCCCCTTCGCGGTGCCACAGGGTCCATGCCAGAAGAGTCAGTAAACAGGCTCTCATGGCAGAGCCCGGGTACAGCTGCTCCCCCTCCAGGTTCCTCTGCTGCAGTGCTCACCCCTCTCCGTGTCACAGCCATACGTTGCACGTCTCTAGGGAGAGCACTGGTTTGGGGAAAAACTGTTTAGGAGATGGTGAGACATATTCTTTTTTGTCACCTGTCCCTTAGCTCTTCTGTTCCATGTCTGCCACCTTCACCCTCAACTTCTTCCGTTCTGGAATTCAGTTTGGAAGTTGGGGTTCCTTCCAGCTCCCTGGATTGCTGAACTTCGGCGAGTTTAAGGTATGCCTCATCCTTCCTCCTGAGATGTCACAATGGGCCTGTGAGACTCACTCACTCACAGAGGGCCGGCACCACTGCTGCAGGGCACCTGGGCTGCTAGCGTCTCCGCGGACAGCTGCGCTCGTGGGAGCAGGACTCTTTTAGAAGGGGAGGCAGCCTCAGCTCCTGTTTCTGTCTTCCCCTCTTCTATCCCTTCCTGTGCTCATGGCCGCTCTGGTTTTTCTCTCTCCCTCCCTGCTCCCTTCTCTCAGTGCTCTGACTCTGATAAAAAATGTCATCTCTGGACTGCTATGGATTTGGGTTTCTTCGTCGTGATGGGGGTCATTGGGGGCCTCCTAGGAGCCACATTCAACTGTCTGAACAAGAGGCTTGCAAAGTACCGTATGCGAAACGTGCACCCGAAACCTAAGCTTGTCAGGTATCTGTGCAGTCACCTCCCCCAGCCTGCTGTGGCTCCCTGAGTGTGGTGTGGGCCTGGCCATCTCTCCTGAAGAAGACGATCACACAGGCACACCCTGCTTCTGCACCAGCTCTGAGGCTGGAAACGGACCCAAGTCTCCCTTGCTCATTAGATGGGCCAGAAGGCTGAGTGGAGCTGGCTTCCAGCTCATGGGAGACTCACACATCTGCTGAGCTTCCGGGAGGGCCGGCGTGGCCTTCCTGAGAGGCTGGCTGTCGGCTGCTCCTGCGCAAAGACTTAGCATGGAAGCCTGTCCATTCCTCCAGGGAGACCTGTGCTTGCAGCAGCCCACTTTGTTGATACAGAGGAGGGTGGGGCTCAGTGGGTGTGTTTTTGAGTTCTCAAGACCTGGCAGCTGTTACTGCATTGAGACAGCTGTGCTCTGCTTCCCAGAGTCCTGGAGAGCCTGTTGGTGTCTCTGGTAACCACCGCGGTGGTGTTCGTGGCCTCGATGGTGCTAGGAGAATGCCGGCAGATGTCCTCTTCGAGTCAAATCGGTAATGGCTCGTTCCAGCTCCAGGTAACCCCAGTGCATCTACTGCCTTTATTCCCCACCCAGAAATGGCCGCTGCTCAGAGCTGCTAATTGCACATGTGGTCGTCCTTCACCAGAGAGGATGCACTCTGGGGGCCCTTGGTCTCATCCACTTACATGACTGACCCTGGCCCTTGGAGGGGGGCTCCTCTGGGGTGAGGCTGGCGAGCATCCTCCCTGACTCTGTGTTCTTGTTGCTCCCAAGCAGCCACTTGAATCAGTCAGCGCCCCTCTGGTCCCTTGTCCTGGAGGGCTACCTCTGTGGGCCCGCAGGAGCAGTCCATGAAGGCTTGGAGTGTGTTAAAAAGATGCCACAAGGGCTGCCTGTGGGTGGCAGCACTGAGATGTTTGCTTTCTGGTTCTTGTTGGGAGAAGTTTACTGACTCCGATTACTAGTTATTCTCAAGGCTACTTCATTGCCAGACTGTATTTTTGAACTATGTTGTTATAGAGCAGTGATATATACAGTCCAGATACAAACAGAAAGCATTGTGTGGTCAGTTGGGTTAACCAGAATTAAATAGGCTTCTTTTTTCTTTTTTGTGGTGCTGGGGAATGGACCAAGGACAACACACATGCTAGACAAGTGCCCTGCCACTGAGTTACGTACCCAGCCCTTTAAACTTTGCTAAATTGCCCAGGCTAACCTCAAACTTGTGAGCCTCCTGCCTCAGCCTTCCAGGTAGCAGGGATGGGAGTCATATGTCACCACACCCAGCTTGGAATATATCTCTCTAGTACAGGACTTCCTAGAGCCTGAAGCGTTTCAGTGAGTGTTAGGATTGTTTGGCACAGTTACTGTGCCAGGTGTTCCAGGCCTCAGACATCTTACTGAACCCTTCCCGCACGTGCTGGGTGGTAACCTCGTCTCTGGGCAGATGAGGTCTTCATCACGATCCTTGTCTAGCAGCTAGTGTGTACAGCACGAGGGCCGGCGTTGTCCCCACGTTACAGATGAGGAAGCTGAAGTGTCACACAGTGAAACACCTCCCCAAGTTCACCAGCCCGTGGCGGGGTCAGTGAAAGCTGTTGGATTTTGGAGTCGTTGCCTTGCTTTGGCAGACACATGGTTTCCAGGAAGTGCTCCGCTGCTTCTCTGCTTTCCCCGCTGGTGTCCTGCAGGCTTGGTTGGGGACAGCCTGCGTGTATTACTCACCAGTAAGCTGCCGGCTCTGCTCAGAGTTGCTAGGACCCTGCACACATTTCTGCTTCGCCACATCTTGCCACCAGGGGGCCCTCTCCCAAACCAAGTCTTGTCCCCCTCTGAATGAGGGCGGAACCTCCAGCCTGGGGCACTGGAGCCGGGAGTGCAGTGTGATCAGGCTTCCAGCCAAGGTGGGTTTCTCTGGAGGAAATCCAGAGCAAAGGCTGTTTTCATTTGGGCCTTTGAGTCAAGTAGTGGCCTGAACTCTCCTCCCTGGGTGTCTGTCTCGCCTGCCTCATCTTCCCACTGTCCCTGAGGCTCTTGGGCCAGGTTTCTAGCAGCATCATTTACAAAATCATTGCCAAGAGGACGCAGAGTCCCATCCATGGTGAACCATGGTATAGTTACATTTTGGTTATGAGCATGGATGAACAAAGGCTTTTTTCCTGATTCTTCATTCTGCATCCAAAATGCAAAGAATTCAGCTTCATAGCCAGCCACCCTTGGGTATCGGTCAGGTTTTGCTGCCTGTTGGATCTGCAGGCAAAGGTGTCTGCCAGGCTTCTTGTCCTCTCTGGAACGGTCCCCCTCGGAGACTCAGGAGCGCCCCGGTCCCATGCCCTCTACTGACTTTGGGATCCTGTGTCGTAGGTTACCTCAGAAGATGTGAATTCCAGTATCCAGACCTTCTTCTGTCCCAATGACACCTACAATGACATGGCCACGCTCTTCTTCAATCCCCAAGAGTCTGCCATCCTCCAGCTCTTCCACCAGGATGGTGAGTGTGCACTGTGCCAACCCCCAGGGCCTGGCTTGCCCTTCATTCCAAGCAAGAACAGGACTCTGGTGGTGTTCTCCTGGACAGTGGGCCTCCTCCTCCAGCGCTGAAGGGGTGCAGGCTGGGTGGGAAGGACCACAGAGACACGGTGGGCCCCTGGGGTGACTGAGGCCAGTTCTTACCTTGCAGGGACGTTCAGCCCCATTACCTTGGCCTTGTTTTTCGTCCTCTATTTCCTGCTTGCCTGTTGGACTTATGGTGTTTCGGTTCCAAGTGGGCTTTTTGTACCTTCGCTGTTGTGTGGAGCTGCTTTTGGACGTTTAGTTGCCAATGTCCTAAAAAGGTACAGTGTGTGCATGTGTGTGCGAGTGCAAGCGTGTGCTTATCCACGCGTATATGTGCGCATGCAGTGTGGAAGTTGCTGGTTCACTGCTTGCACACCCTGCCGCACAACCCACTGAGATGTTTCTAAACCACCTTCTTGGTTTGTTCCCCACCAGCTATATTGGACTGGGCCACATCTATTCGGGGACCTTCGCGCTGATTGGTGCTGCAGCTTTCTTGGGGGGGGTCGTCCGCATGACCATCAGTCTCACGGTCATCCTGATTGAGTCCACCAACGAGATCACCTACGGGCTCCCCATCATGATCACCCTGATGGTGAGCACTTCCCTTCCAGGCTCTTGGGCCTGGGCCCCCAGAGCCTTCTCACTGGTCAGGCTTCCGCTGTGTTTCAGGTGGCCAAATGGACAGGGGACTTTTTCAATAAGGGCATTTACGATATCCACGTGGGCCTGCGAGGCGTGCCGCTTCTGGAATGGGAGACGGAGGTGGAAATGGATAAGTAAGCCCTCTGTGTCTTTCGTGCCTGGTGTCAGAACTTCTGGCTTTAGGGCTGAAGGAATGGAGGAGGGGTTAGCGTAGGAAGCAGCGGTTTGGTGGGGGGAGAGGCAGGCACATTGTTCCCTTGCGTGCTTGGGAATGTTGCGTGCTCAGGAGGCCTGGAGCTCAGGGCCAGGCAGGGCCTTCCGTGGGCATGTGGCTCACGTGGCACTCTCGTTCAGTATGTAGCAGGATCCTGGGTCACGTGTGTGACGGGATTGCTTACACTTGAGTGCATACGGAGTAAACACGCCCCCTTCTGAATGTCCCCCGTCGCCAGTGATTGGTGTCATCACTGGGTGCCCGCCTCATACTCCACACATGTGCTGGGCCCCTCCCTGCGTGTCAGCAAGGCCCTTGGGGTTGCAGGGTCTGCAGAGGGCCACACTGCAGACATTTCCACTGTGTGGGGCTGGATTTGTTTTGTGAGCTGTGGCTTGATGTAAACAGGGACCTGGAGAAGGGTTGTTAAATTTAGTGAAATTATCAGTTCAGTGGTGAGACTGCCCTGGAGTACTGCAGTGCAGATGCCACCCTGGCACTCTTATGGGATGTACGGTGAGGGGACGTTGGTAGCGAGCCATGAGCCACGGACAAGTGAAGGCCCAGTGGTGTGACAGCAGGAGGGCGACCCTGGTGTCAGAACAGCGAATGCAAATGGGATTACAGAGGAGCACACTGGTTCTGGCGGCCCAGGCTGGGACGAGCGCCCTGCAGCCTGTCATGCTTGTGCCCAGGCCAGTGGCCCTTGTGAGGCTAAACGGTTTCCCCTCCCCAGGCTGAGGGCCAGCGACATCATGGAGCCCAACCTGACCTACGTGTACCCGCACACGCGCATCCAGTCTCTGGTCAGCATCCTGCGCACCACGGTCCATCACGCCTTCCCAGTGGTCACCGAGAACCGGGGCAACGAGAAGGAGTTCATGAAGGGCAACCAGCTCATCAGCAACAACATCAAGTTCAAGGTTGCAGAAGCGGTCGGGAGTGGGGAGGAGCCTGTGGGTCCTCAGTGCCCTGTTGTCTGATGCTGCCCTGCCCCACCCCAGTGGCCACAGTGGCTCTAGGAAGACCTGTGCTGTCCCCACTGTGTGACAGCACAGGTGTGACAGAGTCGGGGGCTTGACCCAGCTATGGGGCAGGCGTGCATTCTCGTCTTGCCGTGGAGAGCATGGGGACAGGAGGGTTAGGTCGGCAGCTGTCCCGTTCATTGCCAAGTGGCCTGCCAAAGAGAGCAGGGATTCTGGTGGGAGAACCAGGACTGGCAGGGGGACCAGGGAACCCACGCTGCAGGTGCCCTCGGGGTCCCAGCAGGATGAACACGGGCTGCTCTGTTATTCCTAACTCAGAAGCTAGGGAGAGAGTGAGCCTGGTGCCTCACTTGGCCTGGGCCCATGTGGCCCTCAGCTGTGGTGGCTTTGGGAGGGGCTGCCACGTGTGTTGCGATTCCCCCAGTTCAGGACAGGAGAGGGGTTGTTTCCTCTGGAGAATTGAGGAGCTTCCCAAAGCAAAGAAGCAGGGCACTGGGACATCAGGAACCAGTCAGAATGGGGTGCAGCTTGGCCGTGGCGCACTTCCTCAGCATGCCCGCAGCACCACAGAGGACAGAGGTCCTGGACAGACGACAGCGTCCGCTGCCAAGGCTGGGACTCTGACAGCTCTGGTGACTTCAGGGCCTGAGCCAGAGTCCTGTGCACTCCATTGGGAAGTCCTTTGACCCTCCTTGCTCCCGGACCCTGCTCCCAGCAGTGCCACCGAGGGTGCCCTGTAGAAGCCATCACTGTCTCCGCTTCGCCCCCCAGAAGTCCAGCATCCTCACCCGGGCCGGCGAGCAGCGCAAGCGGAGCCAGTCCATGAAGTCCTACCCGTCGAGTGAGCTGCGCAACATGTGCGACGAGCACGCAGCCCCCGAGGAGCCGGCCGAGAAGGAGGACCTCCTGCAGCAGATGCTGGAGCGCAGGTGCGGGTGGGGTGGGGCCTCCTGCAGCAGGTGCTGGAGTGCAGGTGCTCGTGGGGCGGGGCCTCCTGCAGCAGGTGCTGGAGCACAGGTGCAGCGGGGGTGGGGGCGCGGGGCCCTTGCTTGGCTGTGCTAGGCAGCGTCTGATTTCTGTGTAACAGATACACCCCCTACCCCAACCTGTACCCCGACCAGTCCCCGAGCGAAGACTGGACCATGGAGGAGCGCTTCCGCCCACTCACCTTCCACGGCCTGGTCCTGCGCTCGCAGCTCGTCACCCTGCTGGTGCGCGGTGTCTGCTACTCCGAGAGTCAGTCGGTGAGGCAGCTGCGCTGGGCTCTGGGGGCACAAGCCTGGTGCTGGGACAAGGGGCAAGACGGGCACCTCTCCAGGGCTCTGTGCCCACTGGCTGCCGTCGGTGCTGCATGCAGCCTCCTGTCCCCTCTGCTGTGGTGGTGCCCCCTCAGGTGCTGTGAGGCATGGGGAACCTGGTTCCCTCCAGTCAAGTCCTGCCCTCCCACAAGGTTTTAGCATCGCTTCTGTATTTTCTTTTTTTTTTTTTTTTTTTTTTGTTTTTTT